GTAAAATCCTTTATTTTTAAAGAATAGTGTTATTTTGCATTTATTTTATGACCATTCTTTTTAACAACCTTAGGTGAACCTAGTCAAAACATTTACTTGGATTATAAACAGAATTTTTAGATATTTGTTACTGAACATTTATATATTCCCTCCTTCCCTCCTTCTCTCATTCCCTCTCCCTCTCCCTCTCCCTCTCCCTCTCCCTCTCCCTCTCCCTCTCCCTCTCCCTCTCCCTCTCCCTCTCCCTCTCCCTCTCCCTCTCCCTCTCCCTCTCCCTCTCCCTCCCCCTCCCTCTCCCCCTCCCCCTTCCTCTGTCTGTCTGTCTCTCTCTCTCTCTCTCTCTCTCTCTCTTTCTTTCTTTCTTTCTTTCTTTCTTTCTTTCTTTCTTTCTTTCTCTCTCTCTCTCTCTCTCTCTCTCTCTCTCTCTCTCTCTCTCTTTCTCTCTCTTTCTCTCTCCCTTCCTTCCCTCCTTCCTTCCTTCCTTCCATCCTTCCATCCTTCCTTTCTCCCTTCTTCCTTCCTTCCTTCCTCTCCTTCCTTCCTTCCTTCCTCCCTCCCTCCCTGCCTCCCTGCCTCCCTCCTCTCTCTCTCTCTCTCTCTCTCTCCCTCTCTCCCCCTCCCTCTTCCTCCCTCCATCACTCCATACCTCTCTTTCTTTCTCAAATTTATGAGGCAATGATTAAAATAATAGAATTCTTTAAGAACCAAAAATGTAAGAATTTTTTTTTCTAATGAAGTTCATTCCTTAATTTTCATATGCATTTTATACTTTTTCCTTCATTTTTACTCACTGTCAGTTATGTTGATATAAGACCGTTTTCATACTGAGTAACCTTCAAAGTCCCTTTATTTTGTCCCCAGGTCATGAATAATGTCAGAAGTGCAGTGTCCTGACCGCGGCATGATTGCACGGCAGAACTGTCCAAACCAGGGATGTTTCCGAGGTTTCTGTCCAGCATCATCTCCTGGCGCTCTGTTGCGATCTTGGCATTCATTGCATGTTTGTCACAGGTAGGCTGTTTGGTGGGAGCTTTGCAGTAAGTGGTGACTATGTGGGTTATATATAATTAGTGTGTGATAAGTGATGAGTGTTTACTACTTATTAAGGGTATAATAAGTGTTTAGTGTGTGGTATATGTATATGGAGTTTTTAGTAAAGGGTAAGTGTATATTGAGTGCGAAATGTGTTGTGGTTTTATGCTGATTGTGTAATGAAGGAAGTGTGTTGTAGGTGGTTATTGTATAATTAGTGGTGAGGGTATAATAATTACATGATGTATGGTGACAATTAAGTGTATAATTAGTGTGTGGTATGTGATGAGAGCATAAGAAGTGGATAAAATAAGTACTGTAATGGTTTACATTACACCTCGACTCTGCAGGTAACCAACCTCATCCTGACATGGCAACTAAAGCAGCGACACCAGGCAGCGGCAGACCTGGCAATGGGTGGAGGAGTGAGTGGGTTAGGAATGAGGTCTGCGGCCAAGAGCCATCACATGCTATCTAGGAGGCGAGACCATCATCTAGGGCAGAAGGTAATATAATTGCTGAGTCCCAAGACTTAGCTTAATAATTTCATTATTGATATACACTGTGTATCATTTTGGGTGAGACTTTTATTTGTGTAGATTGTGCATAAATGATAGTCTCATCCAAGTTTTTGCAGCACACAGAGGGGATAATGGAGGCACACCAGTGTGGATATGTTGGGAGTCACTGCATTAAAGAGTAGAAAATGTCATGGAGTTCTGAGAGGAGATTGAAGTGATCATATTTAAAAAAAGTTAATAATGAGATGCCAGGACTAAACTTCGCTTCCAAACCCGACAGCTTTCGGACGAGCACGAGGCCATCCTCTCTCGCATCGCCCACTGGAGTGTGCTGGATGGCTCGGGGGAGTACAGGGTGTCACTGGGCGTCCTCAGGGGGTCTGCACTCGAGGCTGGACCAGGGGGGGAAGGAGGGCTAGAGGGGAGGGAGGATTCGGCTTCGTTGGACGGCCAGGGACTCACCCTCGTCACCCAGTGCTCGCTTGCCAGGCTTAACCGTCTGCCAGAGCTTGTGCGGCAGTGGCAGGTAGGTTGATGATTGCTGTTGTCTGCATGGCTGGTGGGTTTAAGTAATCAGCTTCTTTGTAATCAGCTGGTTGATTAAGATTAATTTAATTTAGTTTAATACTGGCCTTTATTAAATGTAGTTGCATTAGCACTCACACTTTTACCAAAGTATTAATTCTATGTGTCAGTATTTCTGATGCATGAAAAAAGGCTTTGAAATATTGGTTAAATTAAATCCAATTAAACCCCAGTGAATTGGGATTTAACTGGATTACAAGAAATTCCCAATTCCTCAAACTCAAATGTTGGAAAAAAAAAGATACATTGCATTGTACTTCTACCTTGTTTAAAGTATCACAGTGAGTATGGAAATGCTAATGTACTATTTTTGTAATTAGTCATATTATTTCTTAATTTATGTAATGGTAAGTACATTAAACTACTAATGTCTTGATAGTATTTATAAGAAATTTGAGTACCAAGAGACCATTTTTAGGAACAGTAAAATCCCTTTGAAGAATTCTCCCAAAATAAGACTATTATTATAGTGACAATGAATAAATGTATAAAGTTTTTTAAGATTTTATTATTCAAGGATAGCCATTAAAGAATCTTAGATTTACCAAGACAGGTTTTAAAGCAAAAATTCATACAAAGATTTACATTTCAGGGACCAATCTCAGTTGCAGTATTTGCACTGAGTGGGGAAGTACAGGCAGTTGTGCAGGTATTCCACCTCCTTCGAAGGTGCCATGCTAACATCAAGGAGAATGTAACTTTTAGCCTCATTTTCCCCCTGAACTCCCCTACATCCCCTCACCTGGCACCAACAGCTGACACAACCCCATGTGATAACATCTTCTCGGAGCTGGAACATGTGAACTACGACTTCAAGGGCATCCAGTACCCAAACAACCTACTGAGGAATGTGGCAAGAAAGGCCACATCGACGAACCTCATGATGGTCATTGATATAGACATGACGCCAAGCCCTGGTCTTCATAGGGCCTTCACTGCGTATGCAAAAGACAATCACCTGTATGATGAAAATGCAAGCGAGGAGAAGACAGTGTGGGTGGTGCCGGCATATGAACTGAAGGAGGGGACTCCAATACCCAGTTCCAAAGTGGAGTTGCTGAATCTCCGGGAGCAGGGAACCGCTCGTATCTTCTACCAGGAGTTGTGCCTGAAGTGTCAAGTGAGTTGTGTGTTTTTTACTGTTTTAGAGTTTTAGAGTTTTTGTTCTCTTATATGCTTTTGTTTTTTAAAAGAGAGGATCCGATACTTCTCTTCCTTTTGTTTTCATGAAATACACTGACTTTCAGAAATACACTGATTATGCCACGTGGGAGAAAAGTACAGATGTAAAGGAGGGTCATGTTGACGCACTCTACGATGTGCTATGGCAGGACCCCTGGGAACCCTTTTATATAGGTCGGACAAATGTGCCATTCTATGACGAGCGGTTCAGACAGTATGGCTTTAATCGCATTAGTCAGGTGAGTTCTCTGCGCTGTTGGTTAGATGAGAAATATTCCTTGGTTGTTATTAGGAGATTATTTTAAGATTAAAAAAAAAATTATGATTAGTATATATCATGAAATAAAACAAGTTTGTCAATGAATAAGGGTAAAGAACCCAGTGATTTTGAAATATGGAGTGAGAAGAGGTATTGCACAAGACTGCCACTTAATGGTCACTCCTGTGAAGGCCTTTGATAAGCAGTCTTTTGGTAAAAATGTTTGCTTCAGTACTATGGGCTTTGGGTAAGTAGATCCCATGACTCTGGAATATTTAACATGATTATGAAGAATTCAATAATTTGGCTTGGAATAGTGTTTGCTATTGTGTTTCAGTTATCAATAAGTTGCCATAAAGTAAAAATATTCAAACTTGATTTTTTTTATTGATATTAAAAGTTGTAACTATTTGACTCTTCTCCAGAACTGTTTATTTTCATTTTTGTAATATTTTCAGTCCAGTAACGTATTTTACTCATATTTTACATGGGCAGGTTTGTGAACTACATGTGGCTGGGTATCGCTTCGTGGTGCTGGACTCTGCGTTTGTGGTACATGAAGGTTTCAAGACCTCAAGCAACTTTCACAGTTCAAAAGACATGGAGCAGGAGAAGAACCGCATCCTCTTCAGACAGTTCAAAGGAGAGCTAAAGGAGAAATATCCGGAGTCCTCCAGAAGATGTTATTAGCACAGCAAGGTTGCAGGACATTGTGGCTGGGCATTAGCAAACTCTGGGTGCTGTGGAGGTAATGTGTGGTGTTTAGGAGCCTTCGAAAGTACTTCTTACAAACCAAAGAACATCTGTGTGTACTCATAAACTCTTGTATAATCTGTGGTTGTTTTGGAAATTGTCTTCATGGGAAAGATAGAATGCATGAGTATATTTTTGGTGGTTAAAAGTTTATGGTGAGGAATACAAGAAAAAGAAAATAAAGAGAGAGAGAGAGAGAAAGAGGCAAGAACGTTATATATATAAAAAAAAAAAAGACAGTAAGCGTGTATTGTATACATTACCTAAGGTGCTGAGACAGTGATGTCTGAATATAAAAAAGACTGAAAAAGTCAGCTATGGCATGTTTAGTGTAAGACAAGAAGGGTTATAAGAGTCCCGAATAGCTCTACCTGAATCTCGTAAGTGATCTGAATGTTTGGCTCAGAGAAAAATATTGGTAGTTTTTCTCGTTTTTCTTTTTTCTTTTTTAAGGAAAATGTCAAGACTCAAAAAGAAAAAGTACACAAATTCTGTTGTACAGATACCTGTGAGTCATGTGAAGCTAGTTTTTATATAGGCTTAATGTGAACTTGGAGTCATGTTTTATGATATACATATTTATCATGAGTGGAGTTTCATCCACATCCTATGCACAGAGAGACCAGCAGATGTTAACTGTGAATGTTTGGCAGAAGTCAAATTGTCTATGTCTTCTGTTATGCAACTTTTCTTTTGATGCAGATGCAGGAAAAAGCAGCTGTATTAGAATTAAAAAAAAAAAAATGGTTAATTTTCATTCATAAAACAAATAATCTGATACATTGACTATCTTGAGGTAATTTAATGTTAGGTAATTTCAGAGCTTGTCTTTATGAAATTGTAAATAATTTTGATAATACTCATTTTATGGTGTATATTCGTGCACTGAAGAGGTTTGTGCTTTATGTTAAGTATCTAATGATGTGCATGTCTTGAGTTAGACGGCATGTGAATATAGTATTTTTGAGTCAATGTAAGACACTATCTTAAGTCTATCTTAAGAAAGAGAAATAGTGAAAGAAAACCAAAATGTGGTTTGTGGTTTCATTTCATTGAAGTCTTGGTCACTGTATATTTTTGATGTTGATATATCTTGATCTGTCTTTAACCTAGTGCCGCTAGGATACATGCCGTACCCATTATGAGTCCAATTTATTAGTTGTCTGGTGCAGTGGCGTAGCTAGGAAGTTTTATAGGGGGGCGAGAAATGCAGATTTTCTGACAAAAAATTAATAAGCATTTTTGTTTCTTCATGATTATTTTCCGACAAGATTAGCAATTTTCCGACAAAATGGCAGTTTAGCTCAAGAGGGGGGTTTTCCGCCCCCCCCTGACCCCCCTCTATCTACACCACTGGTCTGGTGGCTCTACAAGTAGTAAGTTTCCAAGGAGTCCATTGTCAATGTTACTTATGTCACCTGTTTGTTTTTTTCCTGGAAATTGGGAAGTGTTCTAATTTATCTTATATTGCTATTGGTAATGTTGATAACATAATGATTATAACAGTAATAATTACATCAGTATTGTTGGCGTTAGTGTAAAAAAGGTGACATCAGGTTAGGCCACAAGCTCTATTAATTGATTCCTTTGTGGCTGAGCACTTGTGGACCATTTAAATGTAGTGTTCTATAGTGAATACTATGTTTTCTCAGCAGCATTGGGTTAATGCAGATAATACAGTGGTTTTAACATTATTATGAAGCATTGTTGTTCTTAATAATTCTTTGAGTTCTCATTAAGTTTGATAATTTGGGAAATCAAAGAAACCAAAGCAGAATTTAAAGTCAGAATTCTTCAATGACCAAATTAGTTGATATTTGTTAAGAGTTCTTGTCACATGTTGATTAAGTCAGTTGTATTACTTAGGATGATACTGTCTTATTTACACAATTTACAGTTTTTTTATTTTTTTTTATATATGCCTATTTACGTGTTAACAGTCTCTTCTGTTATGCCAGTGTATTTGCATTTATATATTTTTTAAGGTCATTCTTTTGAAACATAACTTGGGGGAGGATTTTTATAGAGTTAGGTGTGTACAGTTGGTCGTATACAGTGTTAAAGGCTCACTATCTCCTTATTACAGAATAAGCATCTGACAGCATTTGGAATTCCAGATACAACCAAAGAATTGACAAGCACTGTATCTTCATTTTGTGAGAGATTTTTTTTTTCTTTGTTTAGTTTGTCCATTAACAGAGAAAGGAGGACTTGGCATGTCTCTCTGAGTCTTGCTATTATCTTTAATTGATTGCATTTTAACTAGTCTTCTTTATGCAGTTGATAGGTAAGGTATCTGCAACTGCACAGCAAATATAATAGGACTACTTCATTACAGTTTAAGATAGTTTAATTGCATATCTACATAGGCAGGTTGAAGATATTGATGAAATTGTGTTCGCAATAGAAAAGAATGTATTTTTTTTTCCCTTCTAATAAATACCATTACTGTGGTTATATATGTTTTTAAAAAGTCTCATTTGTTTTGAAGTATATTTTTGAAGAGAGCTAATGTTTCAGGGTAATTTGGCAAGTTCGCTCTTGAATAACTTTACTGTTTACTTATCGTTTACTGTGCATTATGTCAGATGATATTTTTAACGTTGTTTGCACAGCTCTTTTTTGTAAAACAGCTGTACAGAAATATAAATATATGTTTTGAATTATTATAAATCCGATTTTACGAATTGATTAATACCTACCTATACTTTGGCAATGGTCCTTTTATCCTCTGGTGTTATGTAGGCTGGTAAATTGACTGCATTAAATTAGGATGAGTGTGGTGCTGATATATATATAGATATATAGATATATATATATATATATATATATATATATATATATATATATATATATATATATATATATATATATACATATATGCATGTACATACATATATATGCATTTATATATGTATATATATGTATGTACATATATATGTATATTTAGAAATGTATATATATTATATATATACATACATATTGCTCGTTGTTGTCGTGGGGGCCTTAGGAGACGAGGACTGGGACCCAATGCAAGGAATCTCCCCTGCCCTGGGACTCAGCCCTCGACTCAACTAACTTGCATGGTTTTTTCCCTTCCCCTTTTTGATTTCCATCCATTCTCCAACCCTTTCCACTATCCATTTCATAAGGTGTGAGAGGCATGTTGAAAGGATGAAGGGCTGACTTTGTGCCAGTCATGTATGACCTGGGGGAGCCATGAACACAGTAGTCTCCTGCTTAGTTGTCTAGCCCTTACCTGTCAAAGGAACCCTGAGTGGTGGACTGTTTTCTCCGCTAACATACTCTAGGTTTACCATGGCCAGTAATGAAGATTTTATAACCTTATTAGGGGCAATGAGACTTGCCCCTTCACCAGATAGCCCCCCTCCCCCCCTACTCGAATTCTCCCATTTCCCCGACCCGAGGCTCTCCTTTGACCATGATTCTGAACACTGCCACTTCTACCCCCTCCTCAATGCCTACTATCACATTATCCTCGCAGGTCAACGCTCAACCTCCAGGAGACATTCCTACTCTCCCAACATTCTCATTTTCATCCCCTCTACCCCCACAGCCTTCTTCATCAACTACGCCATCCTCCATTATCGTTACTCTACTACCTTTTTGTTTACCAGTTTGTGGTGCAGCGGTAGCGATCTCGTTTAGAAATATTACTGATCTGTTTTCAAATCCTCGACGCCAATGGATGGTAACCCCGGCCATTCCTTGCACACAGGGGGTAAATTAGAATATCTGAAGTACTCTATTTAGCCAGCTAAATGGGACCAATTTTTCGTTTGCAATCGTTTTCATGTCTTGACCTCTCTCTGTGTTACCTTTCTCTCCATTTACACTTCCATTGGTCAGTTCTAGACAGCTTTCCCTATAGTGACCACTTTCCATATGTACCACTTCTTAATCTGCATTACCCGAAACTCAAGGCCTTATACCTCCAAATGTGTTCCATGGTGGAATTCGGAGTGCGCCAAATTCTTTGCTCAAAACGCGCAGTCTCGAACAAGTTATCGCCACAAACGAGGCAGCCCTAATCAGTTATCAGCCCTTATCCCCTTTAAGAACATAACAGTAAAACAACTGTCTGTTGGAATTGTGTTTCTCAATTACATCTACATCTATTTCAGCTGTTTGGCATCTGATCCATAAACTATCAGGCAAACATCCCTCCTCCCCCCACCTGTCCTCCGTATTCAAGATCCTCTCGCCTCTGATCCTGTGCAAGTCGCTAATGAACTGGGCGACTATTTCAGCCAGGTCAGTGGTGGCTCTCACCTTTTTCCACACTTCTCTCTCATTAAGACCACCAGAGAACGCACCCCCATCATCACCCCATAGTCTGCTGAGTCCTAGAATGCTCTTTTTTCTTCTTCTGAACTCAACGCTGCCTTACATTCGTGCCGCAACACCAAAAAGCCATTCCGCTACTTTCCATTTTTCTCTCTATCCTTCCTATTAACTATTTTCAACCACATATAGATGGCCGGAAATTTACCTTCTCATTGGCGAGCTCTTATCCTCCCCTTATTGAAACCTAATAAATCAGGTACCCTCCCTCAAGATTACCGCCCCCAACTAGCTGCTCGTCCAAACTACTAGAATGAATGGTTAACTTCCGCTTAACCCATTGGTGCCGGGTATGACGTGTACATACGTGCTATGCCCACTGTGAGTACTTGTTTGATTGTTTTTACGCACAGATGGCAACACTTGTACTAAATCACCAATGAGCCAACTACAAGTACCGCCCGTCTCGCCATTTACCCGTTTCTTTGATTTACGAAATATTTTACGTTATCTTATTTTGCTGTTACTAATGTTAAAAACATTATAAAAATTTTAATGTTTATAATAAAAATAACACCATCGATTTTCATAGCACTAGTGAAAAATACGTTTTTCCCGCCATTTCAAATCAGGCGCTAGCAGAGCCATCTATCGGCAAACATTTCACGAAAAACATAGAAAGTGGGCACAGCATTTTCTCCTTTTTTTGTTCATCTTCCCCGGCACCAATGGGTTAATGTGGTACCTTGAATCTCACAATCTTCTCTTTCTTGGAGGGAGGGAGGGAAATAAAGAGAGAGAGAGAGAGTGAGAGAGAGAGAGAGAGAGAGACTGAGACGTAGTATTATCATTATTATTAATAATAATGAGAGAATTGGAACCAGCAAGAGAGAGCGTAGAGGAGAGAGTAGATATACGATAAAGATAAAGAAACCTTTGATTAGAAGTGACGAAAGAAGTGTCAGAAAAATAAAATCTTGGGCAAGTATTTTGTTAACGAAGTTAACTTTTTTTTATTACACGAATGATATCTCGGAATAATCATGTAATTCAACGTTCTTAAATATATTTCTTTTAAAGATAAGAAACACTGAATTTAGATCATATTCATTCCAGTGCTAACAATTCTCAATAAGAATTTCATCGCTCAAGAACAATAGGTACCCATTAGTTACAAAGAAATCTTATAATAAAAATGATTTCATCATGAAAAACTGACCATTTGTCACACAAGTTGCAGGCTCGAGGGATTAGGGATTTTGATGCTGTTAATTCGTAGCAGAGGAAGTGAAGTCCGAGGCCAGTGAAGGTTGGCTTTCGGTAAATGCTTGTGTGGAAGGTGCCGTTATTAGTGGCGACAAGCGTGTCTAAAAAAAGGTAATTGTGATTGTTTTCTTGGAGTAAATTTGATGGTCGGGTATTTCGAGTTATGATTAGTCAGAAAAAGGTTAACATGTGATGGGTGTTTGAAAAGGAGAAAGGTGCCATCGATGTATCAACGATAATGGACGAGTTTAAAACTCAGACGGGCATTGGTCAAGCCAGTTTTGTTCATGAGAGGACAGGAATGCATTGGCGCAGGAAAGGCCTAGTGGGGACCCCATGGCTACACCGTCTGTTCGGCTGTATAACCAATCACAAAATTGGAAAACCGAGTAATGGTCTGTAATTTCAATTTCTAAAGCGGTAAATCACCCCCCCCCCTAAAAAAAAGAAACCGCAATCACGAATTGTTCAAATCTACATTATCTTCACTGCACATCATTTGTATTTCTAGATTAACCAACGATAATGTAGTTTAAAAACATAGCGTACAGTAGACAGCATCCCTAACAAAAAAAAAAAAAAAAAAAAAATCTGAATCTGGGAATTGATGTGCAGAAAAAAAGCGAATAAGAATGAATTATATTCAATCTCTTTGACAAAATTCTTACTGAAGAACAATTTAGACTGCTGTTTGTCATTTCTACAACTTTTATCTGCATTTTGAAAATAGTGTAGTAATCTTAAAAAAAACATTTTTCACAATAACACTCCCCGTAGGCACAGATGTACTGAGATAAATATGAAAGAGCAAACGAGATGAACAACAAAATAAACCCATGTAACTACAAATAAACCCAACAGCTTTCCTTAGAGACCCGACTGAACTCAATATGTTTTCTTGTGAGACGCGGTTAGAAATTATGATCAGCACAGAATACATGGTCAAACACAAAACACGAAAAACATAAGTAGACATTTTCTTCTCTTCTTGGCTGAGCATTGTTCTCACCATCATCAGCAATGCAATATTTAATAAAAACAACGAAGGGAAGAACATGAAAATCCATGAATATTCTGAAGGCATTTTCGCTGCACTGCTTCTTCAGGCAAGAAGAAGCAACACAGCGAAGCGACCTCAGGCATATTCCCGTATTTTCTTTTTCTCAACTTATCTTTATTCAGCATGAATCAACACAACGCTTTCGTTTCCACACTTGCGTCGGTTCAGGCACAAAAAGTTCAGGACGCAGAAGCTGTCACGGCCGCGAATCCTCTCGAGTGGCCGCTAGATTGCCACGGAGGACGGAGTGCGACGGCCGGGCACCAGCGAGAAGACCCCCTGCAGCGCCCTCTGGCGGAACCGCTGGTTCAGACCCACGAAGATGACGGGGTCCAGGGCGAAGTGGAGGCGGTAGATTGCATGGACGATCACGAAGGAAGGGTCCGTCCAACTGACGTCCATGAGGTGCATGGCGACGTGGGGGACGTCCAGGAGAAGGTTCATCAGGATCACGACGCACAGCGAGAGGCTGATCTGGTCCCAGCCGGGGTGCCGCGCCGCGTCGCCCTGCCTCGCGCACCGTCGGAAGCCCATCTGTCGGGGGAGAGCAGAGGGCGTCGCTTCACTCGGGAACCTCGGTCACTAACAAAGCACATCCGATAAGGACGCGACTGGTAAACAAATGGGAAAAAACACTCACGATGGAAACCATGATGCAGTAGGCAGTCATTATGATGGTTATTGGCACCAAGTATAGCACGCCATACAGTACTTTTGCAACGGTGCTGCTGTTGGTATCTACTATTTCGTAATCCTGAGAGATAGAGAGAGATTACATTAGTAACGAAGGAAACCAAACAAGATCAGAATGGATGGATATGTAAGCACACATTCAGCTTTCCTCTACAAGTAAAAATACATCAGAGCGTTTTCCAATTTACCAAGAACAGGATGGCCAACGTCAGCGTCAGCATAGCAGGCAGAATGACAGCGACTTCGACCGCCACAACCACAGTCGACCTGGACCACAGCTTGTACTTCAGCGGGAACCACACGGCTGTCAGTCTGCAAGGAGGGACTCGTGGGAAGGTCTTACGTCACTCACTATTTGTTATACGAATTGACTCAAGAGTGCACGAACGGTCACTTTACTTCGGCTGAAGAGGATTCCTTGTGAGGCTCGAAATGTCACGTCTATTCTCATTGTCAATTTCATTCGTGTGTATACATACCGCACTACGAATTTATACTGCGCCATACTGCAGAGAGAGAGAGAGAGAGAAGGAAGTGTGTGAGACAGTGATAGAGGGAGAGGGAGGAGCGAGAGCCGAGACACAGAGAAGCGGACCGGTCGACTACCTGTACACGGCGATCACCGCCAGTGCCATCTGGTCGATGCACGCAGCCATGTAGTATAGGGCCACGAAAGCCACCTCGGTCGCCGGTTCGGGCCGCCTGTCCTGCAGGAAAAGGAGCTCAAGCACGGCAGTCCCCGGCAGGGCGAGGGAGCACAGGAAGGCGTTGGTTGCGAAGAGCAAGCACAGCTGGATCTTCGTCCCCGCTTGCGTCTTGTCACAGGTCTTCAGGCACCACAAGCAGACGATGCTTCCTGGAACGGGAAGAGAGACGCGTCAGTGTTTGTGCGCGAGATATTCGCTCAATGTGTGTGTAGCGTCCTAGAGAGATATCTCACACCCACTGGTCACGGCGTCTCACCCAAGACACCGCAGGCGCACACCAGCATCTCGAAGGCCAGGCTGTACGCTTTCCACTGCGCCGCCAGGTTGCAGATGGTGCGGTTGGTGCAGTTGAGCATCGCGCGGGTCCATCAACACTGAGGTTCCGTGTGCCTTGGCGAACGTATCTCTACGGGAAGCTACATATCAGTGGAAGATATGACGTTATAAGCTTTCGGACTGGGACAGTGGTTATCGGACTTATCCTTATGACTGGTTTCTCAATCGAGGGGTCGGCGGTTCGACTGGCACACTCTAATCGAGTCGGCATTAGTCGGGCCGGCCGGGCTCCCGGGTGAGGTTCAGCTTCGCATTTGTGGATAATCGTTATCCTTACTTAGAATTGTGTACACATACTCACACACAGACACAGACGTACACAAAAACACGTACATGCACACATACCTACCACATACACATTATATACGATTACGTATATATACACGTCTATTTATACACGTGTGCACTTTAGTGAAGGTGAAAACATGAAAAAAATGATCCATGGGACACCGTTCATAAGATTTCCTATTATTGATAAATCCAGATACAATAATTCCGGGGAATATGTCATCTTAAACAAAAATCTGTTCAGTGGAATATCCGGAAAAATAGCTCTGCTCTCTATAGACTACTGATATGAGCGAGATATAAACTGACATATTTGTTAAATACATTTAAAAAATCCCATGCCTCTTCAACTCTTTGGTAGCAAACCAGTATTTACCAAGTCAACACCAGGCTTGAAATTTGAATTACCAGATTGATGTTAATTCCCAATCCCAAGAAGAAGGAGAAGAAATTGAAAAAGAAGAAGAAAAACAATTATCTCTTGCTTTCGACCTATTTTCTTTGAGGCGAAAGCTTCATTTCGATTAAACTCTCATTTGCTTTCAAACACGAAGCGAAGTCTAAGTCAGAAGGCAAAAACAGGAACACGATCTCACAGACTGGGGAGAGAGAGAGAGAGGAGAGAGAGAGAGAAGAGAGAGAGAGGGAGAGGAGAGAGGAGAAAGGAGAGAAGAGAGAAGAGAGAGAGGAGAGAAGAGATAAGAGAGAAGAGAGAGGAGACAAGAGAGAAGAGAGAAGAGAGAAAGAGAGAGAAGAGAGAGAGTGTTCGGATGCTTATAAATTTGGTTTATTTCGTTTTTCCTCATCATTTCTATTATTCATTCTTAATCATTTAACGACATTACTGCTTGTTACCATCAATTGCCTCCCATATCGGACACATGACCGCCCCCTAATAATTATGAAATAAAGTGAAAGTTTATTCCGCATTCCCCTCATGCATACGTTTTTGTTTTGAAAAATTAGTACTGGGGCGAGATATCAGCACTAATCTTTTTTTTGTATTTTTGTCTTCTTGGTGTGTTGCGGTGTTCCTGTTCTAGGTTTTAATTAATTTTGGAAGTCGTCACAAATATGCTTTCGAGGATTTGGAGAATAATTTTGGCCCCCCTCCCCCCCCAAAAAAAAAAAAAAAAAAAAAAAACGCGAAGTGTCGCCACTGTCAACCACTCCCTTACTTACCTTAGGCTCTTGTCATGGCGGGACTCTCCAACTTCAATCTGACATGTTTTGGGTCAATATCGTTTATCGTCACGTTTATAATCTTGGGTCATTACAGTGTTAGTCTTTTTCTTATGGTAGGTATGGGGAATTTGGCATCAATACGGCGACCAGGCGACCTGCTCTTCGTGTCAGAGTCAACAAAATTATATGAATGATTCACAGTTAAGTATTGACAGCCCTCCTTCCGCAAACAGTTAGATGCCTTCCAACAATCGCTAATGACGAAAACACACTAACTTTCAATTACGCGACCTAACGTTATATTTGCGTTTTGATTCATCAGTTTCTACCATTACCCTTGGCCCATCTCGATCTCTGCCAGTTGCAAAACTTGATTGCCTGGGACCTCAAGTGCGACTCAACGGTACAGCCAGATTTATTCTTTTCGGTGCAACACATCAACAAAGTTCATACGCGAAGAATTAAAAGAAGTTTCGAGAAATCTCCTTTTTAAAAACATCCAGTTTGATAACAGTGAGCTCGCTTTTGAAACTATTTAAACAAAAATTCATTTTGTGGGTAAGAGAGATCTTTTCTTCACGAGCGACTTCCCTTTTCCAAACGAGTCTATTTGCGATTGGGCAAGCTTCTTCTTGGTGTTTAGATAATAGATGGTCCAAGGGAAATGGTAGATACTGATGAATCAAAATTTGGAAAACGCAAACATATAGCGTTAGGTCGCGTAATTGAAGGTCAGTGGGTTTTTGTCATTAGTAATTGTTGGAAGGCATATAACTGTTTGCAGAAGGAGGGCTGTCAACAGTGAATCATTCATATAATTTTGTTGACCTCGACACGAAGGCGCACACGAATACCATCGAGCGTAAACGGACGGAGACCAAAGCCAAAGTGTCCGCTTCGGCAGGAGGAGATACCACTTCGCAAGGTATTCGACCGGGGCTAGTTTTATGATGGTATTCCTGGAAGAGAATAATCGACTTCATCAATTTCTCACCGCAGCTCATCTGTACCCTCCACGCTGAAGTAATGCCTCAAATATTTTCTATAACAAATGGCTGGATACAGTGGGGTCTGCCCTGCCCCCCCCCCCCGTCAAAGGAATAAATTTAAGGTAGGAAAGGTAAGTTTAGATTTTTGGGTTCGCATGATACCCCAGTGATTAGGTGTGTGCGAATAAACCGTTTTTTTTATTATAATTGTATTGTTCGAAACTTTGCTTTTCTGAAAATCAATTTTTTGCGCATATTGTTTTGCGCATGTTTACTCGGGAGCTATTCTTCTCTTGTGTTAGTGTTATTTTGTGTATTATGAAAGTGTGGCTCGTCTTCCAGAAAAATCTACTTTTCTGTTGTGTTCGGGACACGAACTTTGAGTCGCCTTTTCGAAAAATTGATCTTTTAACGTTTCACATATGTATTCCAAGGTTGATAGTGACAGCCAGTGCCATCCATCCCCCCCCCCTCCTTCAACCCCCGGTTCCCCATCCATCCCTCACTAAAAACAGGAAACGAAAGAACAGAGGAACAAGTGATGATGAAGATAACAAAAATAGTTACACCAGGGTTTTTAGGAGCAAGATAGGTGCCACGAAAGCGAGGGCTGGCTCTCTCGGAAGGATTTGGGAATGGCACTCAAACAAAACGGGAGGCACTAACGGGGTGAATGCGACAAAAGAAGTTCAACCAGACAAGACAAGACAAAAAAAAAAAAAAAAAAAAAAAATGGACGCACTACATTGATTTTACATACATCCTCTACTGATATATTGCTTCCTGTGGAGATGCGATCGCCCAAGGCACCCGGAACCTCAGTACTGGCAGACCTGCGCGATGCTCAGCTGCACCAACTGTACCAGCTCCACCAACTACACCAACTGCACCGACTACACCAACTGTACCAGCTGTAACCTGGCGGCGCAGTGGAAAGTGTGGATTCTGGTCTTCGAGATGCTGATGTGTGTCTGCGGTGCCTTGGGTGAGTGGCCGTGACCGTTGCATTTTGTGCAGAGGTACTCCTGGGGTTCGAGAGAGCCCCCTGGGATTTTCTAGCCAGTGACAAGGCGAAGACACCGGGGGCGAATCCACAGTGGAGGACAACAGAGCCTCGGGCGTGAAAGGAGACAGATGAAACACACTCCACATGTAAAATATACATGTGTGTGTGTGCATGCTTGCATGTGTACACACACACACACATATATATACATATACATACATACATATACCGTATACAAACATATATATATATTATATATTACATATATATACATATGTATAATATATTATATATATGTACATATGATACATACATATATATGTATATATATATATTAATGTGTGCGCACACACACACATACTATAAATAAATATATTTATATATATTATATATACATTACATATACATACATTATATATATCATATTTTATATAAAATATTTATTTATGCATATGTATGTATATATAATGTATATACATATGCATATATATGTGTATACATATAACATGCATATATATATGTATATATATATGTATTTATATATATGAATATATATATATATATATATATATATATATATATATATATATATATATATATATATATATATATATATATATATATATATATGTATATATAGACACATACATAAATATGTATATATTTAGTTATCTATATCTGTATCTATCTATATAGATGCATACTTATCTAAATCAATCTATCTATATATATATATACAGTAGATATAATTTTTGAGACCAGATATTGTGTTTTTCGTCTCCCTTGGGTTTTGTGCCGTAAATATGAATGAAAAGGACGAAGCCCGTTGTTTTGGATAGACTAGTTCTCTGCTGGGAAATAAAAAAGGGAGAGGAGGCCAAGTTATCGCTAATTTGGAGTTTTTGCTTGGATTCATTCGTTCTTCACTTGACATCGCTCCCAGCTTCCGGTTTTATACACTGCCACCACTGACTAAAACGTCGTCTTTTTACCGTGTAAAGCGAATCAGGACTGCCTACTGAAGTACCACGGGAAGAGAGAAAGATCGAGAGGATTTTTTTCTGCTATTGAAGTCAGTTTCCAAGAGACGTCTCCTAGCTAACGGGAAATAGCCGTGAAAGCGGGCGTTTCCAAAACTTCAGTGAAAAGAAAACTTGATGATTTGGAAAAAAAACAACTATGAAGTCAATTAAAGAGGAAAGTATGGAAGACATTCTGTCTCCTCTCCCAGACAGGACAGAATGCTTGTAAATATGGTTAAACAAGATTGCTCAAAGTCATCCAAGCAACTGGCTAGTAAATTGTCTCTCTTTCCGCTGATGTCAACGCCCGCAGACTGTTGGAATCCTCCTTAATAAAGCTGCTGCCTAATTTCGACCTGAGCAGCGGCTTTCCTCCTGCCGACAGTCTCCTCGCTTCCCACACCCTCCACCTTCTCCCGTACGCCGGCCATCCTACACACAGTCCGCCCGATCCTCCGACCTGATCTGACCTTCCTTCGCTTCCGTTCGTCTGTCCTCACCTGCCCCGTATTACCGGGTTGTCCTTCCTCT